CTAGGATTTGGGTGCAGGGGCAGGTGGGTAGGGGATATAGTTTGGGGGAAGAAGATTCTTCCTGGCCAACCTTCTAGCTACTGGTCCTGTCTGTGATCACTCCTTAGACTAATGTGGCAAAGGGGGGAGTGGGAAGGGGAAGCAGGAAGAAAAATACAGAAAGCATATGGACCGTGAAATAAAGCATATGGACGGAGTCTTCAAGTACATGGCCACCCATATGCTCCTGAGCCTGGCTTACTCAGCCTCCTCCTCTCTGCCCCCTCCCTCTGCATTTGGGACCCAGTTCAGGAAGCTTCCTCCCATTTCTTCCCCTCCCCACTTTCCCACCCAGTCTGCTTCACTTGGCCCCCTCTCCCTCCTCCTCTCACTCCCAGACTGGCTCATTCATCCCTCCTCTCCCCCTCGCCTCTGGCTGGTTCATACATCAGATTCTTCCCACCATCCAGGAGAACTGAACCCATCCATGTGTGATTAATACACTGAACTTCCCTGCTGCCCAGAGAGATGCCAGGTACAGGTGGATAAAGGCTGGGCTTAATTGGCATGGGGAAAGAGAGAGCAATAACCTTTGCTCCAGCTCTGTCTTTAGACTCTAGTTTTCTGCTTTTTATTATCAGCTTTCCTCCCAAAATAGCTCTCACATGACAGACTTGACCTTTTAGACCAGAATAGGACCCCACCTACCCACCCATAACAGGGAAAATTCACAAGCTGCTTTGTGACCTTGGGCAAGTCACTTTACCTCAGTTTTGTCCCTTGTAAAATGAGAGAGCTGCCCCAGATGATCTTTAAGATCCCCTCCACTGTGATATGTGTAAGGTGGATTAGATTGTCTCCCAAGCCTCAGGGGGTAGAACTAGGAGGAAGGAGTAGAAGTTGTAAACGCTTGCGCCAAAGCCAGCTACTCAAGTGGCCCTTTCCACCTCTGTCCCAGCGCCCCACCCCAGTCCCTCTTCCTCCCAGGCCCCACTGGGAATGCCTCACCTACCTGGGCCCAGAGTGGCAGGGGCAGGTGACCTGCAGTCCTCTGAAGTGAGGAGTGCGTGCAAAGGGGGAAGGCCCTGGGAAATCTATGGAGGCTCAAATGCTTTGGTGCTGCGAGGTGGGTGGAGTGGGTAGTTTTCAGGTCATCAAGATGCTGGCCTTTGAGGTGAGAACCATGATCAAGCCCTTGGCTTCCTCAAGCCAGGCTGCTTGAGAAAGATGCCAGGTTTCAGGCATATCAGAACTCCCTGCCTCGACTGCCAGGTGCCTCCATTGTAGCAGAAGCCAGACCACCACCTTCAGATCCTGCAGCCCATTGTGAACAATGAGGAATGGACTGACACCATGCAGTAAGTTCCAGGCTCAGGAGGTGTAGGGGAGTGCGAAGAGCCAGGAAGACTCACAATTGGCTGAGTGGTGGCTAAAGACTGCTTACCTCCAGGACCGACAACCTGTGGTGATCCACTCTAGCTCAGGCCTGGTGCTACCCAAAGAAGACTTTGTAGATTCCCAGGGTCAGCTTCAGTTTGCAGCCAAACTCATAGAAGGAGCTTTGGATTTCAAGGCCGTGATTGACAATGAGATTCTGCCAGGGGAATATCTTGGAGGAAAGCCACTGCATATGAACCAGTACTACCAGAGCCTCTCTTCCTGCCAAATTCCAAGCCCCAAGCAGGACTGGATCATTAACTACAGCAAGACATCTAAGCCCCCTAACATATCACCATTGTGCACGATTTCCACTTTTCTGGGTTGGCCGTGTACCACAGTGATGGGACACCCTTTACCGCAGATCAGATCTTCAAACAACTGGAGAAGATCTGGAACTAGTCCCTGCAGACCAAGAAGGAGCCCACTGGCATTCTCATTGCCAATCACTGAAAGACCTGGGCCAAGGCTTACAGTAACCTCCTCAAAGACAAAACAAACAAGGCTTCAGTGCATTCGATGCAGAAGAGCATCTTCACTATGTGCCTGGATGTGCCCATGCCATGGGTCTTGGAGGACATATACAAGAGTCAGGTGGCTGGCCAGATGCTGCATGGTGGAGACAGCAAGCAAAACAGTAGAACCACTGGTTTGATAAAACTCTGCAGCTCATCTTAGCAGAAGAAGGTTCCTGTGGTCTCATGTATGAACACACTGCTGCAGAGGGACCCCATCGTGGCACTCCTGGCCACATCATGGAGTTCTGGAAGAAACCAGAGCTTGTGAGGTGACCCATGATTCCCCTAGCTATGCCCCAGAAGCTGTGCTTCAATAACACCCCTGAGATTAAGGATGACATTGAGAAGGCCAAGCAGAACCTCATCATCATGGTACAGGACCTCAACCTTACAGTGTAGTGTGCCATCACTTTGGGAAGAGTCTCCCCAAGTCAGAGAAGATGAGCCCAGATGGTTTCATCCAGGTGGCCCTACAGATGGCCTATTACAGGATCTATGGCCAAACCTGTTCCACCTATGAGAGTGTCTCACTCCGAATGTTCCACTTGGGCCACACTGACACCATCTGTTCCAATTCTGTTAATTCCTTCAACTTTTTCAAACCCATGAATGACACTGACGTGATAGAGCAAATGAAGGTAGATCTTCTGAGGAAGGCAGTGATGACACACAGATCATACGCTATCCAAGGGGAAGCCCTTGACCACCACCTACTGGGCCTAAATCTTCAAGCCATCCAGGATCTAGTGAGCATTCCTGAGATCTTCATGGACACATCCTATGCCCCTGCACTTTAAACTTTCTACCAGCCAGGTCCCTGCCAAGACCAACTGTGTCGTGCATGTGCTTTGGGCCGGTGGTACCGGATGGTTATGGTGTCTCCTACAACTCTGTGGCTATGCACATCAGCTTTGTGATTCTGTCTACAACAGCTGTGCCAAGACCAATGCTGCCCATCCTGCTCAGTACCTGGAGAAGGCCCTGTGGGAAATGTGTTCCTTGCTGCAGAAACACCCACGAGTCAAGCTGTGAGCCATGTCTGAGATGAGGATATCTCTTCTTCAGGAGAAGAGATTCTGGGAGAAAGACAGGAGTGGAGGGATAGGGTCTGTCTTGACATAGGCCTCTGAACTGCTGGGGCCTCAGGAGTAAAAGGACTTCCCAATAAAGCAAATTCAGGTCCCCAGCCTGGCACTACATATAATACCATCTTCACCAGCCAATTCCGCCACTGCCCAGGACATCAGATCTAATTTCCTCTACCTTTTGGTTCCTCCTGAAACCTCATTTCCATTACCCTCCTGGGATACAGGCTTACTTCCTGCCCCACCCAACTCTTCCTACCATCTTGATACAGCTCCATGTGGGCCCAGCACAAAAAGGATCCATTGCCCCACAGCCCTAGCTCAGAGCCACACCAAATTTAGCCTGACCTTCACCATCCAGCTTCCTTAGCTGCTATAGTTGTGAGGGAAGAAGTGGGAAGTATCTCAGCTACCCCACTCTCCCTAGTATACTGGGACCAGGGCTAGGTTTGGATTTCAGAAGTCAAGTGCCTTTAATAATATCATTTTCCCTGTTGTTCCCATCCTAGGAGTTCCCCATTCTCCCTGATCCCTAGCCCATGGTGGTAGAAGCCCCCCTGGTACCATCTATAATAGGAATTCTTGAGCTATTAGGTCAGGTCTGGGCTGCATCTGACATTGGCTATGAGCCTCAATTCCAAATCCTCTGTCTTGGAGAAGAGCTAGCCTGTGAAAGATAATACTCCTGCAGCCTTGTACATCTGCATTTTTAAAAGCACTACTCCTCCCTTAAGGTGGAAGGAAGGAAATAGTCCATTCTTAAGCTTTGGCCCTCTTCTTCACCCCAATCCCTGATTTATGAAGGGTAGTCAGGGGATGATGGACTTTGTCTTAGAGAACTAGACAGATTTGAGCCTTATTGGAGCCCCAGGGGAAAGACAGAGGACAGGGGAGGAGTCAGTCAACCTTCCCGTCATCCCACCATAGGTTTGTATGAATTTGATTGTTCATGTTAGGGCTCAGTTACTATCTTCGATGATGTAGCTAATGCCCTGGGACCCTTGGCTCTGTCATTATGATTCCTGAACCACAGTGAAAGATTATACAGTATTAATGTGGGAATTAATAAAGGGGAAATATGTTGGAAGACTAAAAAAAAAAGGGCAGATTTTCACTGGATAAAAGGAAAAACTTCCTAAAAATTAGAGCAGTCCAAATGCAGCATGGACTCTCGTGAGAGACAGTAGATTCTTTCTCCATTGTGGTCCTGAAACAAAGCTGCATGACCACTTATTATGGATGGTGTGGACAAACTCTTTTTGCCAGGCATGGGTTGGACAAAACAGCTTCTGAGGTCCCCTCCTGTTCTGAGATTCTGTTAATCTTACCCTAACAGTCAGAGATCATCAAAACCATCAGAGAGCCAACCATTAAGAGACAGGTTTCCCTGCACTCTCTCTCTCCATTTGCCCTGGCTTTTCCCCTACAGAGGTCAAGGTGCAGGAAGCTGTTCCTAGGCTTTCTGCGCTCTTGGACAACAAATTGTTGAGATGACAAATTGTTCTTGTTCAGTCATTTCAGTTGTGTCTGACTGTGACCCCTTTTGGGGTTTTCTTGGCAAATATATTGGAGTGATTTGCCATTTCCTCCTCCAACTCATTTGACAGATGAGGAAATTGAGGCAAATAGAGTTAATTGACTTGCCCAGGGTCACAGAGATAGTAAGTGTCTGAGATTAGATTTAAACTCATGAAGATGAATCTTCCTAATTCCAAGCCCAGTGCTTTATCCCCCGTACCACCTAGCTGCCCTTGAGTTGACAATAATGGAATAAAATTACAGAATATTAAAGAGTTGCAATGGTCTGTGGGGCTCAACTTGTACAAATCTCTCTTTTAAATACAAGGCCCTGAGAGTTAGAGTGACTGTAAGTCTCATGAAGATAGAACTTATGTCTTGCCTAGGCTTAGAATCAAAGATTAAGAACTGCAAGGGACTTTGTGAGAGGACATCTGGACTAACTTCACTTTTCTCTTTCTAGCACAGTCTTTGCACACAATAGGAATTTCATCAAAATTTGTTGAAATGAAAATTCAGCAAAGGAATTATAGCCAGCAAATGGCAGAACCAGAATTTGAACCCAAGTCCTTGGACTCCATATCCAGTGGTCTTGCCAGTACGCCACTTCGTTGAATAGGGAGAGGGTAAGCAGTCTAAGATGCATTCAAATCATTTCCTAGTGCAAATGAAATTCAGAACAAAAATAACCACAAAAATCTCCAGGAATGGACACTGAGGAAAGAGACTGGAAGGGACAAAGAAACAGTAGGTGTTGCTTCTGTTCTTTGATGGATTGCTGATCTCATTGATGAATTAATCAATCAGCAATCATCTATTGATCACTAAGTATGTGCTAGGCATTGTGCTAGGTGCCAGACAAAAAAGTGAAATAGCTCCTGCCCTCGAGAAGCTTACGCTGTACAGATGAGGCTACTCTCTCCAGTGTCCAGCCATGCAAAATGTAATCCATCCATGCCTTCTCTCCTCCTGTAACTTTTGTCTGTGTGTGCCTATAAAATGTCACTAGGGAGTAGGGGCTGAGGGGAGGGCCAGGTAGTCTTCCCGACATGCTGGATGCTCTTCTCCGTTCCTCCTGACCTTGCAGAGATTGCAATGAAGCATATGACTTTTCCATTATTTATCCTTCTGAAATGGACGGAGTTCCATACCTCCCTCAAATAATGCAGTAACAGAATCGATCAACCCACCAAAAGGTCAGAATGCAAATGCAAAACGTAAATCAGGTACTAATTTTTTTTCCTACAATCCCACAACAATGTAGTCATATATGGTCAGGTTTTAATGTGTAGACTAGATTACAAGATTCATCTATACCCTGATCTTTTAATCAGATTTGAACTCTTCTCTAACTGAGTCAAAAAGGTAATATTATGTGATTGGTTGAAAGATTCAGTTATGGCTCTTGGGCCTACACATAAAAATATCAAGCCAGTTCAAAAATGCAAGGAATAAGGGTTGGGAATGCTTTATGGAGACAGACCCCTTCACTTGTAGCAGAGGGAACCCTGGGAAGGGGGAGGGAAGGAGGAGACTTCTGCACCTCTGTTGACCATGGCATCAAAACTACTGGGCAAGTAGAGATAATCCATCTATCTGGCAGCAGAGAAACGCAGTAAGCAGAAGCAGATTCAGAGAGACAGATGCCCAAGGGAGAAGTCGGCTTCAGGGGGTGTTGGCCCCTCATGGCAGACAAGAATGGCAACTGTGGACTCCAGAAAGGAATGGAAGCTGGGAGTCCAGCCTTGAGCCAGCTCAGCAGAGATGAAACATGCAAAGAATAATAATAATAGCTAACATTTGTATAGCACCCATTAGGTGCCAGGGAATGTGCTAAGCACTTTACAATTATCTCCTTTGATCCTCACAACAACCCTGGGAGATAAGTGCTGTTATTATCCCCATTTCATAGATGAAGAAATTGAATCAGACAGAAGTTAAGTGATGTGTCCACAGCTAGTAAGTGTCTGAGGCCAAAGTTGTACCTAGGTCTTCCCAACTCCAGGCCCAGGGTTCTATCCACTGTGCCCAGGAAGGACTCTGCAAAGAGAAAAGGGACTTTCATGAGGTGAAAGTTCTGGGGATATACTTTCAGTATCATGAGCTGTAAGCCACTCTTTGCTATGCGTGCATCATACAACATACCTCACTTTAAGTCAGTCAGTCAACAGGCAATTAATAAAGGCTTGCTATGTACCAGGAATTGTGCTAAGCAGTGGGGATATTAAAAAAAAAAAAGGTCAAAAACGCAGTCCTCTTCCTCAAGGAGCTTACAGTCTAATGGGGGAGACAACATGTAAACAACTACATATACAAAATATAAAAGGTCCAGGTGTAGTGGAGCTAATGTCAGGAAGCCCACTCTTCCCACAGATGCTGTGTGTTTGTACCAACTGTGCTCACTATGCCATGTTCATAAAGACTCGGGACCTACAGTAATAGAAGCAGCCCCCACAGGGCTACCCATGGAAGGGGAGGGAGCAGCCACCTTCTGGAAATCCAAGCTATAGGGGAAGTATAAGGGAGAATAGCACCCCAGAGGGTTTGTTACATTACAACTTTCTGTGTGACCAGCCTGACTCCTTTTTCATCAATCATATATTTCTCTAGGGATTCATTGATCCTTTAACACTGTAAAATTCTTCATTGGTAGATTGATGTTGTTTGCTGTTCACTTGTGTCCAGCTCTTCGTGACTCCACTTGAGGTTTTCTTGGCAGCCATACTGGAGCGGTTTGCCATTTTCTTCCCAAGCTCATTTTACAGATGAGGAAACTGAGGCAAACAGGGTTAAATGACTTGCTCAGGATCACACAGCTTGTGTCTGGAGTCAAATTTGAACTCAGGTCTTCCTAACTCCAAGCCCACCACTCTATCTAGTGAGCAGCCTAGATGCCCTGATAGATCAATAGGATGATAGATCTAGAGCTAGAAGGATCATGAGAGATCATCTAGTACAATCCATCAGTACAAGGAAGCCCAGAGAGGTTAAGTAACCTGCCCAAAGTCACCCATCTTAAGTAAAAGAAGAAGAGGCTGAACCCAGGTCCTCTGATTACAAATCCAGGCTTCTCGCCATCCCATGCTGCAGGTTTCAGGCTTGTAATACCACCATGCACTATTCTTTTTCCTTTGGATGAGTCACCACATTAACTCTTTAGAGACTGTGATATTACATGATTTGTAGCCATACATCATACCTGGAAAAATGTTACTGTTAAAAAAAATGTAGGGGCAGCTAGGTGGCTCAGTGGATAGAGCACCAGCCCTGGAGTCAGGAGGACTTGAGTTCAAATCTGACCTCAGACACATAACACTCACTAGCTGTGTGACTCTGGGCAAGTCATTTAACCCCAACTGCCTCACCAAAACAAAACCACACAAAAAACAAAACAAAAAGAAATGTACCTTTCTTTCCAGGAGAAGTTTAGGTTTATTAAAACCAACATATGATTCCCCCAAATCAAGCCAACCCACTGTCCTTTTCCTGTGCAATTCTGGGCCCAGTTCATTGTCCATCTTTAGAATCTGCCCAAGGTATACACCTACCAAACATCTAAGAGAGTGACTTATCTATCTTCATGCATTTGTGAAATAATTATTATTCATCAACTTGGTTTTTCATATGCAGATATTTAGACTGAAATCTTTTTAAAATATTTTTATTTTGTTAAATATTTCCCAATTACATTAAAAATTTTTTAACATTCCTCTTTTAAAATCTTGAGCTCCAAATACTCTCCTGCCTTCCTGCCCCTTCCACCCATTGAGAAGGCATATGATATCAATTATATATTTGAAGACTGAAATCTTTTGAATAATTATGGATCTTCCTGGAGTCAGGAAAACCTGAGTTCAAAACTGGCCTCAGACACTTCCTCTCTGTGTGATCTTGTTTTGTTGTTGTTTTATCTCACTTTAGAAGCCACACAAAGATCCAAGAATTAATGCAATTAACAATGTATCATCTCCAAGCAGAGCACCTAAAAGACCTCATCACATCTAAGAAAGACTTCTGCCCTGGACATTCTTCAGGACTTTAGCAAACACTGGAGAGCACCCATCTCCCTGTTCTATGTGTTACTCGATGTTAGTAAGTAGAGGGTCCTCCAAACTCAAATCAGGACTCAGTCAAGAAAAAAAAAGTATAAAGAAACAAGTATAGGAGTTCCATGGGGCTCTTACGAAGGAGCTCCCATGAAGAAAGTTAAGTAATAACAGCAAAAGCTTAGTGCAGAAGACAAAGTCAATGCCCTCTACCTTCCTAGACCATATTCCTGCTTTCAATTATGTCTGCCCACAACAAAACCTCTAACTTTTATATTGTGGCCAAAGCAGAACCTCAGAGATATTTTTTGATGTTACAAAGGATCCTCATATGTGAAAAAAGTTGGGAGCTCCTGCTTTTTAGATGAAATTCCAAAATTGAGCAGGATTGGATTAGATAATCTTAGGTCTGAAAGCTGGAAGACTTCCATAAATGGCCCAACCCACCCATTTTACAAATAAGAAAATCAAAAGCCCAGAAAAGTTGTAAATTATTCAGCCTTGAAGGGCTCTCCCAACCCAAGATTTCATGAGTCTATGCTCCTTGAAATCTATACAAGTAAGGAGCCAATTTGAGACCTGAAAGCATATTTCATTTTGATCACATTAACTTAAGACACAGAGGGCTCCTCATCAAAAACACACATCCAAGGTCACTTATCGCATCATTAGTTTCCTTTTCCCACAAAGGTGACTTAAAATTCTTGGTTTGGAGACATTTGTTCCTTACCAGCTATACCTTCTGCTCATTCTTTTATTCCCAAGAGAATAGGGGAGCAACGCCTTCTCAGCTATTCTGAGAACATAGAGGGGCAAAAAAAAAGTTAAGCTTGGGAGGAGAGGATTTACCTACCCAGCAACTGGAGAGCAGTTACCTGATCACAGCAGCAAAGAGAAAAGATCCAGAGATCCTCACATTCCCACTTGCCTGAGTCCTAGAATTAACTAGACGCCTTGAACTCATACCTGAGGCATGTGCTAATGGACATGGAGACAGGGTAAACATCCTGCCCCAGGTCAGGGCTGAGAATGCCTCCTGGTCTCTATTTCCTAACAGGAAAATTGAGAAAGGAATCTCTCAGCCTCCAGAAAAGCTGAGGAAACTCAGAACCAGGCTTCCTTCTTAAAACTAATAGATCTGAATCTTTTATTCCAAATCAAATTCCCCACTGCCACACCTAACTCAATCCAATTCAAATTAGTTCAGTTCAAAGAACATTTCTTAAGTAGGTATCATGTGTGAGGCCCTACAAAGTGCCATGTATGTGAAGATGGATATGATATAGTCCCTCTTCTCAAGGGGCTCACAGCCTCTGAGGTGGTGGCATGGAAGGAAGGACAATTATACAAGTAACAATGATACAAATTTGAATGTGATTAAGGCAAGGTAAAGTAGAAATAAGCTGTAGTGGAAGGAATGAAGACAGAAGCTGACAGTCCTGCTCCTCCCCCTCCAACGTTTCTCATTCTTTCTAGTGTTCCATCCTCATCTTTCTTAACCTCTCTGCAGCTCTTGACACTTTTGTTCGTCTCTTCTTTCTAGGTTTTCATAGTATTCTTCTCTCCTGGTTCTCCTCCTA